AACTGTTTTATGTATATAGCTTTTAGTATTTGTTTACTGTTTTCATGTTTAAGTATAGTTGTGTTGTCAACAAGTATTTTCCGGAATTGTGTACGCGGCCAGGCATGTTGTTTTAAATACCTAAAAATGTTAGAGTTATCATTCAATGATAATGTTATTAAGCTTATCAGACAATATGAAAGGAACTTACTTAAAATAAATAGACAAAACTTGTCTATATTATTTAATGAAACATGCATCAATAAATATATATATATATATATATATATATATATATATATATATATATATATATATATGTTTAGTTCATAGGGGTAAAAGATCATTATTCAAACATATGTTGTTAAATATAATAGACAACTAATGTCTATTATTGTTGCTCATAAGCATAATAATCTTCTAATATATATAATCTATAATCTTCGTATAGTGGCTTTAGTTTTGGGAGAAATTAAAGACAAAAACTGTCTAATATTTGGATATTTTTTATGCTGTTCAGTGAAGTCATCGTCTTCAAACCTATCTTATTCTTTGTATATCTATCTCTTTGCGTCTAATTCATCATATATCTCTATTTTCACCTTCTTTATGTTATTTCATCTTTATCTGTTCCTATGTATCTCAATACATACCCACAAACACCTGGGTTACCTTGAATGTTTGGAATTGACGATACTACTTCTTGGTATTCAAGAGTAATTTGCTAGACATCACACGGACACCGATAAAACCCCTGAGTCAAATATCTCCCACTCTTCACGATATCAGATTTTATAATCCAAGTCAATATTTTCAAATTAAATTGATATCAACCGATATTGGTAAAATTTTCAGTCTATACTTATATTTATATGAGCAATATGTTCAGGTGTGATTTAGCTAAACATAACTGATCTTATTAAAAATATTCACCACTAAGAATTATCGTGAGGAGAAAGCAATATATATATATATATATATATATATATATATATATATATATATATATATATAATTATTTATTTAAAAATTACAACATAAATATGTTATAAAATCACTACAAAAATAGCCATTTTGTTTCAACACCTCTGGTGTCTTATCAAGTGATGATGTCGAATGTAAAATAAATGGTTTTAAAAGTTTCAAATTAATTAACGATCCTTCGTAAGAGGAAAATGCTTTTACAAAAGCTAGAATGACCAATCAAAACACAAGTATAGGAGAATTCAAAAAACTTGACAACAAATTATGGTTATAATAGCTATTAAGAGCTTTAAAGTTAGGGTTATACTAAAATAGAATTTATTCTAACCAATACGTGTTAAATTATATGATAAAATTTGATATTAAAATTAAAAGTAAAAAATTACCAATTTTAAAATCTAAATTTAATCTCTATTAAGTTTAAGATTATAAAATTATACTTGGGTATATATATATATATATATATATATATATATATATATATATATATATATATAGGATCGAAACCTGACTGATTTGGCATCAGTGTTGGAGATTTTTACCTTAAGCTATTGACTCTCGGCAATAAACACGCCAGTGACTCAGAGTACTCTATTCAGAGACCTTTGCATTATATATATATATATATATATATATATATATATATATATATATATATATATAATATGGTTGGATTGATGTGAGTTTGTGACTCTGGGTTTCACGCTTTTGCGATCGCCAGACAAACTGATTAATTTTTTAAAAAATTTGGGTTTATGTAGATTGCGTGTATTGGTGTTATTATGGAAGTTGGGGGTGGAGACCGTCGTAGTGATGTCACTCATGCTAACGCAAACATAGATGCATGTCCGTACACCCGATGAGGTACGCAGACACGCATACACACTTGCTCGTCCGCTGGGGTTCATACATATATAAACATATGTGGACAGTATGGGATTTGACATATATATATATATGGGTTGTGGTGTGTCTATACATACGCATTTCTATGCTGAAATTCAAAGATCGGAAGTGTAGCGAAAATTTCTCGTGAATGTATACATGTCAGCAATCAGAGCATTTTTCTATTTTTTCACGGAAAATAATATTTCCTATAATATATATATGCTATATATATATATATATATATATATATATATATATATATATATATATACATAGCAAGACAAATGTACCAAATGTCGCTCAGAGGTCGAAACGCATTGGCTATGATCAGTTTTCCTTTTGCCTTTATTCATATTGTCATTTCACAGATATACTATCTTAACTTTTTACACACTTACACACACACACACACACACACATATATATATATATATATATATATATATATATATATATATATATATAGAGAGAGAGAGAGAGAGAACAAATAGATATGTATATATATCAAGTAGTCTCTGTCTGTTATCGAAATCCAATTCATCAGACATACAAATTCAAAAGAAAACAGAAAAACAACTGCAGGAATAATATATATATATATATATATATATATATATATATATATATATATATATATATATATATATAACATTCAGCGAAATTATCAATCGAATTTAACATTATTTGTCGCAGTTTAGTCTTGCCTCCTAGAAACCTTTGCTTGATTTTTTTACATGTCTCTTTCAATGATGAGCCAAACATTTTCTATCCGTTCTATTAATTTGACGTCCTTGGAAACATTTTTGGGTCAGATGGGCAATAGTCAGTTTTGAAGATTGAGAAGCATCACTGTCTTGTCTGAAAAAATAATATTTACTTAAAAATTCGTGATTGTCACTAAAAATGCATTTCCCAAGTACTTACAATCCATGTTTCCTTTCATCTTGATACCATCAGCAACTTTGAAAAGACCATGACTTCCTACAAAACTAATAAAAAAAAAAAACTTGACTCTATATACCCCTTCTTGTCTTCTTCATGCTGATTGACAATATCCATGAAAAACCAAAATTCTAGCCATGCCAACATGCGTTCAACTCGTCTGGCATCTCGCTCTCACTTTTCACTGTTAAATGTAGCCGTCTCTTCTACTCCAATAGCTTCATATCTCGCAATTCCCGTCTGTGGAACTCCCTCCTCTTTTTTTGTTTCCCTGATATCTATAATCTCAAACTATTCAACTGTAATGTCAATCGACGTCTCCAGATGCCTTGATCTATCCCCCTATCCTTCTCTTCATCCTTTCCTCTATCACTCCTATTTGCTCTCACTCCAACTCTCTGTCACCCCTTGCGTGCTAGTGGCTTCCCGCCTTCCTTGGGTTGAAACGCTTAAAAAAATGCCATCAGATCCATCCAATGTAGCTCTACATTGATCACTAAAAATTATTTGATTTCTACGGTTTATCAACCTTTTATAGGTTATTTAAAGCCAGGAAATATTTTTAGATTCTAAGAATTATTTTTATGATAACAATGATTTACTGATACATGTCTTATTAAGATATAGCTGGAGCAGGGAAAGAGGTGGATTCATGCCTTTCCTAAGAGTATTTGCACGGAAGTTAATATAACGAACTCTACTGGAATTGAAATTTGGCTCTCCGTTGAAAACTTCCGATCTAAGCTTGGATGTGCGGGTGGTGTAATACACCACACATTAAAGCTTAGAGTATCTGATATTCCCAAGCGGTCACCCATGTAGGTACTGACCAGGCTCGGTGTCGCTTAACTTCAGTGGTTGCACCAGCGTTTCAATGTGACGTGGCCGTACTGTTGAGAAATCAGTTTTCTTGTATTTCTTCACCTAACTGACATGTTTCTCTCCATGATGTTGACGTAAAGGCGACTGTTTGGTTGTTTTCATGAATTTAGTTAATGTTCTTAATATTAACATTAACAATTCAGATATTTGATTCCGGGTTGATCTTCTTTTCTTGCTTATTTTTCTCAAATATTTTGTTCACATTTTTAAAGCTATTTGATTTAACTTGAACATAATTTCAATTTCTCGTTTGATTGTCCAGTGGGGTCTCCTCACAGACCGATAATGAGCGTTCCCAGTGTCTCAAATCTTGCGGCTATATTGAGGTTTTATTTTATTACGTCAAACAATAGACTTTAAATTTCGGAAAGTAAAAAATAGATAACATTGATCATATTGTAATATAAAGGCGTCAAGTGGCTTTATAAACTCCCAAAATGCTTATAAGAAATATTTCTAATATAATGATATTATTTGCAATATAATATATGCTAAAAATACTAAATTTTCATGATAATTATCGAAGATCGACTCAGAGTTTCTCTATGGTTCTCTATTCAGGTTCCATATAAGAATTTTTATTTGGTCAATGAAGAGTGAAATTGGCAAGACTCTGAGACAATCTTTAAAAAATTTCGTGAATTTCCAATAGTTTTCATAAAATAATTAATGTCCGATATAGATATTGAACATTTTTGTGTCAAGAATACTGTTCAAAATGATATATATCAAATGATATAATATCATTTATATCAAAAGGTGGAATTATTATTTTAATATAGGTATATATTATAGATATATCAGATAATTATTATAATTATATTATTAGCTAAATTACATATGGTTTATTTATAATAAAAATCTAAATATATGTAAAGAATTATACCAACGTCGTCAGTATGAAAAACAACGTATTTTGAAAATATTGAACTACAAAATAAAGTCATACATAGATAAATGGGAGAGAGAGATAGGGAGATATGGAGAAACTGAGAAATATAGACAATATAATGTGATAGATAGAAAGAGATAAAGATAGAGAGAAAGAAACAGACGAACAGACTGTGATAGAGATAGATAGAAAGAGAGAGATAGAGAGAGTTAATAACAGACTAAGAGAGATAGAGAGAGAAACATGAATACACCGAGACAGAGAGATAGAAAGATATATATATATATATATATATATATATATATATATATAGACATAGAGATATGAATAGACTGATGAATATATATATGTGTGTGTGTGTGTGTGTGTGTGTGTGTGTGTGTGTGTGTGTGTGTGTGTGTGTGTGTTTGCTTGTTTGTGTGCGTGGACATAC